TTAAACTGCTGACACATACATTAAGTTTCCAGTAATGGATGAAAGGCCATTTTTATTTTGGTTATAGGTAGGAGTCAAATTTCTGCAATTACTTAAAAGACTGAATGATCTACCATTTTTGAAGGCCTTTAGGATTCATTAACAGAAGGTTACACACACACACACACACACACACACACACAAATAATTCCATTTACTGGGGCTGCACTTTAAGTGGCAAAACCAGAGTTTTGTGCCACAAAACCATAGTCTCTCTGCCACGATTTCAACCAAAAAGTTGGATGATCTTAATTCAAACTGGACATGGGCAATAGTCATCTTGAGCTGAAAAGCCACTGAAAACATCAGTTTCAAAGTTTCGAAACTCTCAGATATAAAGTGAAACAGCAATAACTAAGAATTGTCACAATGTACAAGAGGCACCTTCCTCCCACCTTATAGTTAAAGTTCAAGATACATTTTCGGTTTAACCTAGCTTCTCTTTTTCATCATCTAACATTCTATTTTGATGTGTAGTGCCCTGGACTTCCTGTTACTACATCTTGATATTCTACTGCAAATCATGACTCATTCTTAAATCATAGAGAAACTCATCAAAATCCCAAATTTCACAGCACATATGAATTCAGTCTTCTACGAGGTCAGCATTCTTAGAACATTACTTGGAGCCACAGAGACAAAAACACTGAACAAGTCCATGTAAAAAATTATGTCAATCTACTGTTGAGTCAACACATTTATTAGATCAATAAATTCATGCTCTATGTGCAGTAATTTTGGTCTTGGTACTAGTTTTGAAAATGTGTTGCATGGTATGTTAAGTAAAAATAAGTTACAAAACAAAGTATAGTGTGACTCCAATGAAAACTTTTATGTATGTGTGTGCGTGTGTGTATGTGTGCACACACACATACACACATTCTAGAAGACTGAAAAAATACACACCAAAATGTTGACAGTGGGATTATGGGAGATGTTTATATTTTTCTTCGTGGTTTTCTGAATCTTCCTAACATGACTCACATTAATATTTTTTCAAAACAGAAAAAAACCTAGCTAACCTTTATAAAATATGGTCATGCTAGTGCAATCTCAAATAGGTTATTAAATCAACCTACAAAGATAAAAGGGAGCTATGGATAACCAGGATATAAAAAGCTCTTGCCTGAAACATACAGAAAAATCTGACAGCAGTGGCGTCTTTCATTCAAATGACCCGTGTGTGTGTGTGTGTGTGTGTGTGTGTGTGTGTGTGTGTGTGTGTAGGTAGGTGGGTAGGTGGGAGCAGGCCCTTAGGAGGAGGCAGAACCCAGCTGCCTGCACCCAGGGTGCAGCCAAAACAGAGAACCCACTGCTTTTAAAGTTTAATGAGGAAGCCCAGTTCTGGGGGACAGGGAGATGGCTGAATCATTCTCTAGGACTGCAAAGGAGCAAAGCCATTAATTCAGAAGCAATAATTCACCATCAGTGCCCCCCCTCCCCCCGCCAAAGAAAAGGACTCTACTCCAGGAAGTCACATCCTTGGATAATTTTTTTTAGGTTTGGGTTTGTCAATAGGTAATGTTTTGTAACATTGGTCTTTTAAATCAGATAGATGTATAAACATAACTGGGTAGCACAAAGCACACAAAACCGAGTACCTGACAACTAAGAAAGGAATATTTTAATTTATATGCACTGACTGGAAGGACTTTAAAACTGATTTCAGGAAAAGATTCAAGTTCCAAAAAGTTATTACAAATATAAATTTCAAAATATGATCTCAGAGTTACATTTACTGTATATTAGTGGTTTTAAATTATTAATTTTTTTAAATAAGAAAAGGAGATCTTTAATAAATGTTTTAAGAAACTTCAAAATTCAAATGGGGTTGGAAAAAAAAAATCGCTGCTCTCCCGCATCCGGACTATTGATATTCTAGTCTGAAAAGCATTAGTACCAAGTAAGTGAGGTTCAGAGATAGTCTAATTCAGCTCAAAAAGGTAAACCATCACAATTCATCATTTAAATGTCATTCTATGGCATGTTACTGACCAAGAAGAGAGAGCAAGGGAGAGAAAATTCATGCACAGTGTTACATATGTGGCAGAAAAGTGCAACTGACAATTTGTAAATGTCCTATTCATTGAATGGATACAGGTAAAAGAATCATCACATTAATGTAAATAAGAGTTTCTCACTGTGGGCACTACTGACATTTGGGGCTGGAAATTTATTGGGGGCGGGCCTGTTCTGTACCTTGCTGGATGTGTAGCTGCATGCCTAACTCTCTACGGACTAGATGCCAAGAGCACCCCCTCTGGTTATGACAACCAAATGTCTCCAGATATTGCCAAATGTGACCTGGGAGACAAAATTACTCCCCAGAGTCTGTTCATCCAAACTGGTTTGTAGTTCACTCAAAGGGGCCTCTCCTGCAATCTGGAAAAATTTTTTTCTTATCTATTTGTTACAAGTGCTGGATCCTACCCACAGCTTTCAATGCAACAATTTATTGAGCATCTACTCTGTGCCAAGCACTGTGTTAGGGACATCCTGTACTCACGGCCACTGACTCACACCCTGGGTGGGCTGTTTTTAGGACATGCTTTGCCACCAGAAGAGAAATACCAACACCTCAAAACCCCTCAGGAGTATGTCCTTGGGGTGCCTGGGTTGCTCAGTCGGTTAAGCGTCTGCATTCGACTCAGGTCAGGATCTCAGGGTCCTGGGATCGAGCCCAGCATCAGGCTCCCTGCTCGGCGAGGAGTCTGCTTCTCCCTCTGCCCCTCCGCCCTGCTCATGCTCGCTCACTCTCTCTCTCAAATAAATAAAATCTTTAAAAAAAAAAAAAAAAAGGAGTATGTCCTCCAGCAGCATGTCCTTGTCAATAAAGGAACCCCGCAGTTCCAATCAGGTTCCTTAAAATTCTTTACCCTTTTAAGCAACTCTACACATTTCCAACATTTAAAAGTTTAAAAGGGGGGGAGGGTAAGGCCATAAGGCCTTTGCTATATTTGGCATAGAAAGACCATCAGGGTTTTTGTAGGCAGGATCATTACTGGAAACTCTAAAAACACTTATGGACGGTCTTCTTCACTGTCTGACCCACATGCCCTCCTAACACAATTTGTAATTTTATAATCCCCATAAATGAAACTCATAACTGACCTATCCCAAATAAATGTGTGCCACAGACAGAGAAAAAGGGAGAGAGATCAGAGGGTATTTTGTTTGGCAATAAAGCAATAAGGCTCAGAAATCGATTTGAGCTCATTAATAGATGCCTGGAACTCGCTTTAGTTTCTCACCTCCTCTGGCTCCCTCACCCCCCAGGCCCCCTCCAACAAAGACACAAACACAGATGAGAGGGGATGGGGGTGTCTGAGCTGCTTGGGCAATAGAAACTTCACACGCACACACACACACCCTACGCACAACCAGGAAAGAAAAACCTGTTAAGTCCGAAATCCAAAATGGCCCAAGTGACTTTAAAGTTTTCAAGATACTGCCCTGAAAAAGGTTGTCGGGCAGCTGCACCTCTAAGTAAATAAAGCGGTGACTTGTGTCCCTCTGCAGCGCACCCCCCCACCCCACCCCCACCGCACCACCCCCCACCCCCCGGGGCTGACAGTGGTTGCACAAAACCCCTCCTGTGCCGAGCAGCGGAAACTCCTAATGAGATTAGTTGGTGTGTGTGCAGACATTACTTAGCAGTGACTAAAGGGGCTCTCTCTTCCTGCAGCAGCCAGTGGAAAATTCAGGGCACTTTTTCCCCCAGCAGCAGCAGAATCCCTGTAACCCTCTCCCCAGCCAACTCCAACAACAACTCAGCCTCCCCCAGCCCCCTTCTGGCTGGGGTGCTGGGGGGTAGTTAAAGACCGGCCAGGGGCTTCCAAAAGCGGGAGGGTAGGAGGGGGCCGGCGGGGAAGGGGCGGGGGACCCCTCGAACACTACAAAGGAAACTGTAAAAGGCACAAATACATAAACCTGAGAAGGAGCAAACCAGTTTCTTTGTGAGCTCCTCTAGTGAGTCATTTTCAAGATGCTGTCTGCTGCCAGTTTCAAAGCGGAAGCGCATGGCAATTAGTCTTGCCGTTTCCAGACAAGCCAGAAACTCTCCCGACACTCGTTTTTTTTTTTTTCTAAAAAGCCCCTTTTGCAGTTTCTGAAATAACATTTCTTACTCCCACCCCCACCCGCCACCTAAATGCAGCTTGTCCTCAGGATGATTCGGTTCAGAAAAATATAACAAAACCGAGACCTCTTATTTGTCTTTTTTAACTCTCCAAAATTTTAATTCCTCCTCCCAAAAGTTACAGTAGCATTACAGGCCAACGTTCAGTTGCAAGCTTAAGAGCCCCTTCCTAAAGAGCTGGGGGCTCCAAGACCGTCTGCTGCCCGGTCCTTCGCCAAAATCGTGTCCAGTAAGGACTCCGCTGGCTTTTAAAGGTCCACCTGGGCGTGCGCCTGGGGGCGATGACCCGGGCGGGGGTGGGGGTGGGGGGGTCACCTGCCGAACGAGAAGGGACGCGGCCCCCAGCCCCGCGTCTTCGCTCCCCACGCCCTCGGCTTCCCCCTTCACCCTCATCCTCTCCCCGAATCGGAGCATCGGTGCCCACTGCCACCCCAGGGGAGTCCCGGCCCCAGCTGGAAGGTCGGCGGTGGTCCAGCATCCAGGCACGCAGCCTGCCCCGTCGCCGTCCCTCCCAGGGACCCTAAGTCTCACCGTGCCCTCCTCCCCCCCCGCCCCCCCGCGCGCCCCCTGCTCCGAGCTGCAGCGCAGCCCCAGGGCAGGGTGCCGCCGGCGCAGGGTCGGACGCGGCGCGGAGCTCCGGCGGGGCCGGCGGGGCCGGCGGCGCGGGCGCTGGAGCATCCCGGCGACGCCCCCTCCCCAGGGCCGCAGCCCACCCCGCGGCCCCCACCAGCCCCACCCCCACCAAGCTAAAGAAAAGAAAGAAAAAGCACCCCGACGAAACTTTGCAACTGTCCGAGCAACAGGCAGAAACCCTGCTACCTACCCAGATGTGGGGGAGCTTTCAAGATCCTTCTTCGGGGGAATTTCTAGGAGGAACCGGGCGAAAGCCCCCGACTTTCCATGCTGACAGGCGTCTGCAGACGGTCTGTTGCTCTTGTAATGAGATCCTGATTTTTCCCCCCTTTTTTTTCTTTCTCTCGCTCCTCTTTTTTTTTTCCTCTGGTGTGTGTGTGAGAGCAGGAAGTTGGAGCAGTCAGGCCGAGCCGGCTCACTTCCTTTACTGCATTATTCCCCAGGCGGTGTGCAGTCTGTGTAAACAGGCTTTTCCGCCCCGCGCCGCGCGCCCCGGCCGCGGCTGTGCGCCGGGGCTGGCCGCCGAGGCCCGCGCATACTCCGCCGCCTGCGCCCCGCGCGCTCCTCCCGCACCGCGCCGCGCCCCCGCCCGCCGCGCGCCCCGCTTCCTGCTCGGCCACCCCAGGGGAGGAGCCTCCGGACCCTCTGCGACTCCGGGCGGCCGCAGCCCCTCCCCAAGGCGGGGGGGGGGGGAGCTGCTCGGCCAGAAACCCAGAGAAGCGGCAGCCCCCACCCCCACCCCAACCCGGGGCGCGGGTGGCGACCCCGGCAGGCGGCGGCGGACCCGGGGATCCCTCCTCTGCCCGCAGGGCCCCTGCGCTGGGCACTGAAGTGGGGTCGTGCCTCGCCCAGTTGGCCTGGGCGGGAAGGCCCGAAGCGGGGAGGCCGCTAGACTGGCTGTTTTCTGTTAGCTGGAATGGCTGAGTTGTGGGGCAGTGGGGCACGGAGAGTGGGGTGCAGCGTTAGGTGGCTCTAGGCACAGGGCTGCTTTTATCGTGGGTGGGGACGTGACTGCTTAGGATGAGATGTTGGATGTGCAGAAAAGGAGGCACGGTTTCTGTCTGGGATTTTTTTTTAAAAAAAGCCAGAGCTCAGAGTAGGGGGGCCCACTATGGGGAAAAGAATGAGAAGCCATAAACTGGAAGCCAGGAAGAGATCTTTCTGGCCATTCACTATGGCCTACCGCAGGCCCAACCTTTCCTGCCTTCTAAGGAGCTCCAGAGGGAAATGAGCAGCCACCCCGGGGCTGAGTGACTGAGGCTTCAGAAGGAGGCTCTATGGTCGCAAGGCAGGACTACACAGCGCGACGTCTTCGGGGATGGCCCACCCAGAGGACTCAATTGCCCTGAGGCTGAGGGGGCCTTTGGAAGGGCCCCTCACCCCCACCTCTGCTCCAACCCCAACTGCTCACCTTCCGGAACCCTCCATTTCTGTGCCTCCACGCCCTAGCCAGGCTGACCTATGGTTCTCAAACTTGAGTGTGCACCAGCATCACGTAGGGGGGCTTGTGAAAGTACTGGTTGCCTGGGCCTCACCTGCCAGAATATCTGATTCAGTAGATCTGGGGCAGTTCTCAGGCCGGGTTTACTGTTTGGGATCACCTGGGGAGCGTTTTGAAGACTACTGGTCTCTATGCACAACCCAATCAAGTCCGATTCCCCACTTTGTTGTTTTGGGTTTGTTTTTTTTTTTTAAGATTTTTTTATTAATTTATTTGACACAGAGTGAGAGAGCACAGCAGGCAGAGCGAGAGAGAGAGCAGCAGTTTCCCCCCTCCCCCCAGCAGAGAGCCCAGACGTGAGGCTCTATCCGAGGACCCGCGGATCATGACCTGAACAGAAGGCAAACGCTTAACGGACTGCGCCCCCCAGGCGCGCCCCCCCCACATATTTTCTTATTTTTGCAATTTTTTCTAAAGATTATTTGCTCATGAATCTTTCACGTCTACTAAACTGTGGGTTTTTAAAGGGTAGGCATTGTACTTTACTCAAGTTTGTACCAGCTCTCCACCCCTAAGTGCCTGTCAGAGCACCTGAGGCACAGGACAGCCCATTTCCCAGCATTTGCTTCCCGGCTGGTATGGATAGTTCACGGAGAAGTGGGAGGAGGCCTGCCAAATCCCTGAGAAGGGTGGGAAACCATGAGGTATGAGAGCTGGGGGCAACGTAGGGGCGCAGAGAAGGAGAAGGTATGGGGAAAAGAGCTGTTTATCAACCCCTGATTTTCTACAGCTAATTTTACACATTAGGAATTATCCTTATAATCCCTTGCTGGCTTCCCTTGTCACTCGGGAGAGCTCACTCCGGGTCCCCGTGTGATCCAGTGATCTGTGGACCGGGAGAATGTAAACTGACTTTATTAGCCTTCTCTGGGAGGAAAGAAAATCACACACACAATTGAGAACACCATGTTGCTTTATTTTAAAAAGTATATGCCAAAGCCAAACACAAGTATATTTTAAACCAGTGGCTTTCATGATTCTCATTGTATTTTTTTGCAATAAATCTTTGTAGAATCCTAATATGTATGACAGAAAAGGTGTACATGTCTTCATCAGGCAGTTGGATTGTTTTGAGGAAACACGCCCCTGTTTAAAGCACTCCCGAAACATTTATGGGCCCCCCTAGGGTTTCTCTGGTCAAATGAAGGCCTCTTAAGTTTTCCTGGTGTTTGAGATTGTGCACACCACTGCTCCCAGCTCTCCACATGAATGAGTAATTCAGAGCTGACTCTGCTCTTCCTCCTGGCACAGCGAATAACTTTTACTTTTAGGTGTCTCCAGCGTCTGTCCTTTGCATTCTAAGGGAAAACTGCTGTCTTAGCTTGGACTGCTATAACAAACACTATAGACTGAAGAGCTTAAATAACAGACCTTTATTTCTCATAGTCCTGGAGGACAGGAAGTCCAAGATCAAGGTGCCTGCGCATTTGGTGCTTGGCGAGAACCCTCTTCCTAGCATGGCCCTCTCTTGCTGTGTTCCCACACGGCCTTTTTTCACACACATGTGGGTAGAGAGGGAGGAAGCAAACCCTCTGGTGTCTCTTCTCATAAGGACACTAATCCCACATGGGAGCTTCACCCTCATGACTTCATCTAAACCTAATGAACTCCCAAAGCCCCCACCTCCTAATACCATCACATTGGGGGTTAGGGCTTCAGTGTTCATTTTTGGGAGACACAAACTTTCAGGCCACAACAACTGCTATTTTTTTTCCCCATGCTTTCCTGCCCACTATCAAAAAATAGCCAAGAGGTGTGGCATTTAGGATTGTATGATCCACACTCTTCTTTCTATGCTTTTGTTGTAAAATGAATGGGAGTTAAGACTGCATGGGCTGTGAGCAAGAATTCTTTAGGAGCCCTTTTGAGCAAGTAACAAGGCCCAGGCTCTTTCATTTCCACTGGCCAAGAGACTGTTTGGCTCTCTCAGCTTTGATAAGAAGAGCTGAGATCTCAACAGAGATGGAGTTAGCAGCGTGATGTGTCGGAGGGTGCTGGGGCCCAGGGGAGGAAGGCCAGCCTAACCAAACCCTATGGATAAAAAGTGGAGAAGGGCTGGGTCTCCAGAAGAAAACAGAAGCCCTGGTTCCAGGAGAAGGGACGTATTAGTCAGCTTTTGCAGGGATACTACAATGTGACAAACAACCCCAAGACCCAGTGACTTACAACAAATGGGTCTGGGTTGGCTGGGTTTTGGTCTGTTTCACATATCTTTTCGTTCTGGGACCTGGGCTGAAGGAATAGATTTGACTTGAGACATATGGTTCTCTAGAAAGGCAGGAGCTCAAGAGAGGTGAGTGGAGATACAGACGCCTCTTAAACCTCTGCTTAGAATTCTCACCCCCTCACTTTGATTCACAATCCATTGGGGAAAGCAAGTCATATGGCCAAGTCTAAAGTCAGTGGGACTGGGGGAAGGACAGGGAGGGAAAAGAGAATTCTGAACAAATAATACAATCTACCACAAGAAAAAATGGATGCTGGATATACAAAAATAGCAAATCTGTCAGGTCCTTCATAATTTAACATTTCACAATGTATAACAGAATGGGATGCTATGAAAAGTAAAAAAATAAAATATGGATGAGGAAGCATAATTAGGGCAAGAGATAAAAACGAGTTTTAGAAACTAAATATAAATATCAACTAAAATATTCTAGAATATAGCAGAACAAATCATATATAAAACTTATGAATCAATGGTATTAAACATGAATCGATAAATTTTGGAAGAAACTCAAAAGTGGTTTGCCATCACTACTTTGAAGACTGCATCAGTTATGGAGGAATATGGCGAGGGGCTGGGAATGGAGAGCCAAAGCCTGATGGGAAGACAGCCCGCTCAGGTGGAAAGTATACATTTCAAATCAGGAATTTGGGGATCCAGTCCCTTACCTCTGACTTGTTCTAGCTATGTGACTTGACTAGGTCCACTCACCTTCTTTGAGCTTGCATGAGCATCAGTTTTTACAGATTTTTACAGTGAATGCCAATTTTACATTAAAACAACATGTGTTATAGGCTAAGATTCAAAGACGTTCATGAACTTCATTTGAAAGAGTACTTAAAAGAATTTTATAGACTTGTAGGCAGACCCATGTGGGAGTCTGCTTTCCTCCTTTTGTGCTGTTAGAGGTCTTTCAGTGGGGACATTTGAGAAGCATTGATTTGGACCATCTTTTTTGCACTCAGACTGGCCACCCATTGGCAAGAGGTTGGCAAATTATAGCCCACAGGGTCTGCTGCCTGTTTCTGTATGACTTTTGAGTGAAGAAGAATTGACTTCTTTTAAAAGTTTTTAATTGTGGTAAACAAACAAACAAACAACAACAACATAACATTTACCACCTAAATCTTTCTTTTTTTTTCTCTTCTGAAGTGGTACATGCCACTTCCTCTAATATATTTCGTTGGTCAAAGAAAGTCATCTGGCCAAGTGTAACATCAGTGGGATGGGACTGTAATGCCCCTACAGGGAAAGCATGGTAAGGAGGAACTACGAGGGGGCGCCTGGGTGGCTCAATTGGTTGGGCGACTGCCTTGGGCTCAGGTCATGGTCCCGGAGTCCCGGGATCGAGTCCCGCATCGGGCTCCCTGCTCAGCGGGGAGTCTGCTTCTCCCTCTGACCCTCTTCCCTCTCATGCTCTCTGTCTCTCATTCTCTCGTTCTCAAATAAATAAATAAAATCTTTAAAAAAAAAAAAAAGGAGGAACTATGAGGAAAGGATGATGAATGTTTTTACATTAGGATAACCTAACTAGTAACTATTCAATGCTACAAGTTTTTACTCACTCTTCCACTCTCACAAGTATTTAATGCTTTCCACGCTCCTTCAGCCTCCAATACTTCTTCTAATCCCATCCCACTCCCTGTTGATGACCTTGCATCCCATTTCACTGGAAAAAAATCAAAACAATCAGAAGAGAAGTCCCAAGGGATCCCACCTACCTACCTACCTACCTGCATTTGTAGCCATATATGCTACCTTCCCTTGGATTAACTTCCCACACTCCTACTTAAGGCTGACCC